TCAGAGTTTTGAATATTTCATTCCAATGCCTTCTAGCCTGTAAGTCTCTCCTGAGAAATCTGCTGATAGCCTTATGGGGTTTCCTTTGTAAGTTACTTTCTTCTGCCTGGCTGCCCTCAGTATTCTCTTTGCCATTGACTTTTGCTAGTTTCACTACTATATGCCTTGGGGTTGGTATTCTTGCGTTAATAAAGTTTGGAGATCTATTGGCTTCTGTCACATGAAGTTCCATCTCTCTTCCCAAGTTTGGAAAGTTCAGAGCTATTATTTCTTTGAACAGGCCTTCTGCCCCCTTCTCCTTCTCTTCTCCCTCTGGTATACCTATAATCCTTATGTTGCATCTCCTAATTGAGTCGGATAATTCTCGGAGAGTTTCTTCATTTCTTTTTAGTCTTAGCTCTCTCTCCTCCTCTGTCTGCAGCATTTCCATATTCCTATCCTCCAAATTGCTAATTCTGTCCTCCATATTATCGACCCTACTGTTCAGAGAGTCCAGATTTTTCTTAATTTCCTCCATTGTGTTCTTCATCTCCAGTATTTCTAATTGGTTCTTCTTTATAGCGTCAAGCTTTTTTGTGACATAGCTCCTGAACTCATTGAGTTGTCTATCTGAATTTCCTTTTAGCTCATTGAGTTTTTTAATAATGGCAGTTTTGAAATCATTGTCATTTAGGTTATAGATTTCATTGTCTTTGGGATTGTTTTCTGGGTGCTTATCATTTTCCTTCTGTGCTGGAGATTTAATATATTTTTTCATACTGCTTGATGGCATGGATTTATGCCTCTGCATAGAGATAGAGTTTAGTCCCTGCTTCCACTTGTTGCGACTGGTGTGTGTGTGGCGGGGGCAGCTGTTTAGAGTGCACCAACCAGGAACCCTGTCAGCTGTTACTGACTGTACCTGGACACCTCCTCGTAGTCACAGTGGTCCTGTGGGGTCCCTTGTCAGTTGCAGGGGCAATTGCAAGTGGGCCTCAGGCTGCTGGTGCCTACTGTTGCAGCCCACTTAGACGTGCTCCCTCCTTGTGGTCTGCAGCGGTGTTGTGGGCTTTCCCAGCAGCCAGGAGCAAGATCACCTATAATCGTTGCTTTGTCCCTAAAAGAGCCCACAAGATCACTCTTGTCCACTATAGGTCCCAGCAGAGCTATGGGTATCTTCTGGAGTCTGTTGTTAGCTCACCTACCTGTGCTACTTTTGCCCCAGGGCCTTCCCACCTTGCGATTGCCAGTCGGGACCTCTCCACTAGTGCTGTGCAGAGGCTTTCGCTGAGGCTGCTGTAGGAACCTGGTGTTCCCCCCTGGGCTACGCAGCCATTTCACCGGAGCTCCACTCTGCCCCACTCCACTCTCACGGGATCTCTGGGAGCCCCTTGCCTCGTCTGGGACACGGCCACAGTCCATGGGCCTGGCGGTGGCTTGTATGCTGCTGGCTTGTGGGGAATTCTGCTCTAGGGAGCTTCCTGGTGTTCTCAATGCTGGGCGGAGCCTACCTGCCAATGGCAAGCAGAGGCCCTCCCTGCTGGGAGGGTGTGGGACCCTGATGCGTCCCCCTGGGCCACAGAGCCAGGTGTTGGAGCTCCACCCAGTCCCAAAGCACGTCCACGGGAAGTCCGGTCACCCCCTGCACCAACCCGTGCACTGGAGACTGTGTGCCCAGCATCAGCTGGCGGTCTGCTGCAGTGCCAGGGAATCCACCCGACGGGAGCTTCCCTTTGTTTTGGATTCTGGGCGGGGCCTCCCAGCTAATGGCAAGCAGAGGCTTTCCCTGCCATGGGGGTGTGGGACCCCGGAGTGTCTCCCCGGGCTGCAGAGCCAGGCGCTGGACCTCCAACCATGTCCCCAAGCATGTCCAGAGGAAGTCCGGATGCCCCATGCATTGACCCATGTGCCCGAGACTGTGGGCCCGGCAGCAGCTTGCGGTCTGGTGCCATGCCGGGGAATCCGCCCCCCGGGAGCTTCCCTTTGTTTTGGATTCTGGGCGGGGCCTCCCTGCTAATGGCCAGCTGAGGCCTTCCCTGCTGGTGGGTGCTGGACCCTGGGGATTCTCCCTGGGCTTAGGTGTAATCGTGGGGGGCTTGAGTAGGGCTGTTGTCACCTGTTTCCACCATCGCTCCACTGGTGAGTGCATACTCCTGCCCTTGGTGTGTGGTGATGCTCTGGGGGGGTCAGCTGGAAGAGAGCCTCCTGCAGGAACTAGGCTGTCCTGGGGTTGGGGGTCAGGGGTTGGAGAGTTTTCACCTATTTCCACCTCCTCCCGGGGGGATGTCTGTCCACCTTCTGATGTATAGTAGTACGAGACTCTTAAGCATCTTGAGGTGCTATCTGGATATCCTTTGTTAATTGGTGAATGTCCAATAAGTTATAGATTTGATGGGGGAGAGACAAAGAAGACCACTCACTCCGCCATCCTGGTCCCACCTATTAGCACATTCTTATTGCAATTGTCCTCTTAATTGGATTGGTACCCAGTGTAGCTGGTTGCTAGGCTCAGGGGTGTACAGTTGTGATAGGCCTGAGGCGAACAAGGCTGATGTCAGTTGTCTTAGGAGTGCAGCTGAGTAGGTCTAGCCCTTGGCACGGAGGCACTCAGTTTTTTCAGGCGTTGGAAGGTGGGGCCGATCCTTTTTATGGTTATTTGTGAAGCACAAGTCTTCTGCCACTGATAAGCCTCACCCCCCTCTGGACCACATACACTGTCAGCACAGTCCTGGTCCGTCCACACTTCTCAACATCCTAGAGCATACCCCACCACCACACTGCAGGGGCCCCCACCTCTGCCCCAATGCCCCCCACAGTTCACCAGGTCCTCACATGAGCCCTGCCCTACAGAGGCAGACACCCTTGCCTGCCTGTAGAGGATCAAGGCACTCAGTCAATGCAGGCTGAAAAGTAGCCTGAGGGCTTGCTGTTAGGTGGGGCCAGTGCCTAGGGCAGGTTGCCTGCCCTGGCTGAACTGGATTAAATCTGTGCTCTAGTGGGTGTGGCAGACCCCTGGGCTAACAGCCTCACGCACCTCAATGGCCCCCACCTGTGTCCGTATCAGCACGCCTGGACCAGCTCAGAACAACAGCCCCCACCAATGTCTCAGTCTCCAGAGAGGATCCTCCTCTCACCAAGATGCCCCCAGAGCCCACCAGTGAGTCTTGTTTCACCAAAGGACAGTCAGCTTTCTCTCTGGTGATTTTAGGTTGCTGCAATGAGTGAGTTTGTGCGTGGGCCCTTTAATATCCAGATCTTTTTGGCTTTCGGCTGATAGCTTTTCTGGGGTGTCCTCACTGCTGTTAATAACCAGTAAAGCCACATAGTAAGACCTCCCTCTCAGTTGGGCTGAGTCCGAAGGATGGTTATAGCAGTATTGCCCCCCATCCGGAACTCACTCCTCCAGGGAGGGCTGCGTAACTTAGGTTGGCTCCCGCCTGGCCAGCTGAGAAGCTCTGCTGCTCCCAAAGGTGGCTTTTTTCCTCTCTGGCCAGAGTTACTGCCTCTTCTGCTTTCATCAGGACTGTCCTTTGTTGTGGGGGTTCTTTTTATCCAGTTTTCAGTTTTCAATCCAGGGCCATTCTTCCTAAAATTGTTGTAACCTGGTTGTGTTTGTGGGAGGAGGTGAGTTCAACGTCTGCTCACAGTGCCATCTTGACGAGAATCCCAACTAAATAATTTTTGATAAACTTTTTAGTTTTCTTATCTCTGAAGTGGGAAAGATATAAATAACTATTTATAAACTTGTGAATTATATGAGTTTGATACATTTCAGATACTTAAAACACTGTCAAGCTCATGGAAGAAGTTAATATATAGACATTATATTTGTTCTTGTTTTTTATTATTTTTGTATAGTTAAATAATTTAGCAAAGTATAGTTTAGTAGAATTTCTCCAAATGATGAGCTCAACTTGCAGAGACTTTTTTTTTAAAACGCTTGTTATTTTTTTGTTGACACAATTGACTCATTGTTTGAATTGTTTTATATTTTAATATCTTTCTTAAAGTCAAACAGATACTGTATTTATATAACATCATGCATACTATTTTTAAACTTAAATTGAATATTCCCTAGTGATCTTTAGCTGGCTTCTTTGTTATTCTTAAAGTTCTGTGTTAGCAATATCTATAATTTTTCTTACTATTGTTTTCAAATTTATATCTATAATTAATTTTGGAATTCATTAATATTGGGGATTTTCCTTTGTTAATTCCTTTCTCCTGCTGCTGTGGGGTTTTAAAATGTTCTTTAATTTTACTTACTAAGATTGATTTTTAGGTCATTTATTTTCAATCAATCCTGTTTGCTCATGAATGCAGTTAAGGTTGTTAATGCTTTTAGAGTTTCATTTTTACCTTTCTTCAAAGCATAAATGGAGTGTTATTAACTCATTTTCTAAATGGAATACAATTTGAATTTTGATTTCCTATTTTAATGTACATGAGGAATGACTATTTAGTCTCTCTTTCTTTGTTTTCTGGTTTAATTGCATTATGTTTGGAGAATGTAAAAGAAACCAGTGTGATTTTTTGTGGGTATGTGACATAAGCATACTTGAAAAGAATTCTCACTGTTTCTTTCAATTGATTTTAGTATACAACTATTTTAACAGAATTTCAGATTCTTTCTATTCTTGATAATCTTCCATGTGCTTATTTCTCTAATTTCTGAGATAACCGTTGAAATAAAAGTAACTTTGATTATGGAAAATTTATTTCTCATTATATTCTTGAAAAGCATATATATCTAAATTCCTGAATTATTGATTCCTTTCCTTCTCTAGTACTTCTTATCCTTTCAGTCAGTAAAACCTATTAGCTCCATTTCCAGGTTTTCTTTTAACTACACAACTTATTTTTGTTTCCTGTATCACCATCTAAAGCGCAGTCTTTATTGCATTAGTCTCCTATTTTGTACTCTTGCCTTATACAAAGATTTTCTAAAAAACGGTTGTTTTTCTGATAAATCAGATGATGTGATTTCCTTTTTTAAAGCCTCCTAATGTCTTTTACTTTGAATTAAATTTTAACTGCTTTCTGTTCTATCACACAACTTACAGGATTAGATCAAATCTATCTCTAATCTCACCTGTGTCTTTCTTTCCTTTAAAAGAATGTGTATATATGTGTGTGTAAATGTATGCATGTGTTTATTGTTTGTTTTCCTAGAAGGAATACATGTTTTATATGAATATATTTGCTATAGCTCTCATTATAGAAGATTAATGAATATTTATTTCTTGAAAGTGAATAATTTTTCAATCTAAAAAAAGTGAGTAGGAAGAAAAGGATATATCTTAAAATGAAAAATTTTAAATAAAATATTATCACTTATGAAAAATATTTTCTAATCTTTCAATGTTTACTTTTAATAGCATTGCTGATGACATTTTCCCTAATATCAGTTACTTATGGGGCTATTCACTGCAATATACTGGCCATCCAGATCAAGTACGACAATACTAACATAAGGCTACAGCCAATAGAATTCATCTGCATCATGATATGGCGTTGCTTGGAGATTACCTCACGTGTAGTGACTCTGGTACTGTTTACTACATCTCTGAAACTGAAGAGCATGCCCTTTTTATTAACCATATTTTCCGTATCATTGCTGGCACCATGGCTGGAATTTTGGAGAAGTGGAGCTCACCTTCCCAGCAATACTAAAAAGAACTTGCATCCAGTGAGTACAGTATTCATGCTTATCATGATCACTCTACTATATGCTGCCATCAACTTCTCCTGCTGGTCGGCAGTGAAACTGCAATTGTCAAGTGAGGAAATAATTGATAAGAGACAGAAGTGGCGTCATAGAATCCTACACTACAGCGTTCGGTTTTTAGAAAATGTGGTAATGACATCGGTATTTAGATTTTTTGGCGGGAAGTCTTTATTGAACTGCTGTGATTCATTAATTGCCACGCAGCTCATCATAACCTACCTGTTATCCATTGGTTTTATGTTCCTCTTCTATCAGTATTTGCATCCAGAGTGGTCAGACAAAGCATTACCAGAACATGCTGAAAATCGGCCTGAAGCAATGTGATTTTACATAAAATTTAGAGAAAAGTCAATTCAAAGAATAAGAATAAGCAGCTGATAACTTACTATCATTTCCAGAATGGGTGTTTTTCATTTAAGAAATTATAGGCTACTCATTAAGAAATGGACTTCCCTAGAAAAATGAAAAAACATGCTGAATGTGACTTTATTAAGATACTCCTAATGATAAGTGAAATTAAATTTTATTTCACATAAATCAAATACTTGTAAGCAGTTGCTAATAAAATTGATTTTTCTCCTGTGACTCTATACTACTTTGAGTCCTATCATTACTTCCAAGTAAATAACTTCTAATTTTTGTTTTCTCAACTCTAATTACAGAATTAGCAAAAACAAAAAAATAAAAATTCATCTGAGTCCAGATGGGACCAGAGCAGGACAAATAAACATAATCCATTTTCATCTACTGCATCTTCAGAACTTTTGTCTTTACTTAATCAAACAATATTTGCATTCTAGCACAAGTTATTTGTGAACATTCCATTTCAAAAAGAGTGTTTCTACAGGTTTCATTCTGTATTTTTCTTAAGGTAAGAACAACCTGAAAGAGAATTCTTAAGAGAATGATAGTATTTATATTATTTAAGATAGCTAAAACTCCTCCTCATTCAACTTTGACAGCCAAAAAGCAATATCATATTAATACATCTTAAAACACAAAACCTGTTATTAAAAAGAAAAGGTTATGTCAGAATAAGTTGAAATAAAAATAATACAATAGTACAATAGCTCTAATGTTCAAAGGACAGATGTAAAATCTATATATTCTTTTATTTTGACAACTTCATTTCCTTTATTCTTGAGAAAGCAATAGCCATTTGGGATCAAGAATCCTAAAGAACAATATGATTTGAAAATCCAATAATTTTATATGTTTTCTTTTCTTAAAACAACTCTATACCAAAAGACGGAGACAATAACTTTCTTTTTTCTTTATTTTAAGTTTTTCCAGATTTATTGAAATATACAAAAAATTTGTAAACTTAACGTGTACAATATGATGAGCCAATACATCTATATATTGCGAAATGATTACCGCAATAAGGTTAGTTAACACATCCATCACTTCACATAATTACAATTTTTTTTGTGCGTGGTGAGATCACTAATGATGCACTGTCTTTTCAACTTTAAAGTATATAATACAATATTGTTAGCTACAGTCATCACTAAATATTAGATCCCCAGAACTTAGTCATGTTATAACTGGATGAATATTTTTGATGAATATCTCTCCATTTTTCCCAACCCTCACCCACTGGCAATGACAATTCTGCTCTGTTTCTATGTGTTTGGGTTTGTCTCTTAGATTTCACATATAAGTGAGATCATGCAGTATTTGCCTTTCTCTGTTTGACATATTTCACTTGGCATAATGTCTTCAAGGTCCATCCATGTTTTTCAAATGGCAGGATTTCCTTCTTTTTTATGGCTGAATAGCATTTCATCGTATATGTGTTTATATATATGTATATGTTTGTGCGTATATTACAGGTATGTGTATAGGGAATTGGGGATAGAGCAGTGTAGGAGTTTTTGTACAATATTGGAAGTAAAAAGTATGTAATTCTGTCTGGATAGTTTAAGGTGTTAATTGTAATTCTCATGACAGCTAAACCAAACATAAGTAAAAAATACACAGGGGCCTGGCCCTGTAGCCGAGTGGTTAGGTTTGCACGCCCCGCTGCAGGCGGCCCAGTGTTTCGTTGGTTCAAATCCTGGGCATGGACATGGCACTGCTCATCAAACCACGCTGAGGCAGCGTCCCACATGCCACAACTAGAAGGACCCACAACAAAGAGTATACAATTATGTACCGGGGGGCTTTGGGGAGAAAAAGGAAAAAAATTAAAATCTTTAAAAAAAAATACACAGAAAAGTAAAAGGCAAGAGAATCAAACTGGTGCTCTATAGAAACATTAATGAAACACGAAAGAAAGCAGTTTTGAAGGAACCGAGGAAAAAAAATGACATAGAAACACATAACAAAATGGTAGAATGTCTTTATATGTCAGTTATTACCTCAAATGCAAATGAATTAAACCTTTCAAATGACAGGCACAGAATGGAAGAATTGAATTTCTAACAGTCCCGATCCAGCTATATGCTATCTAGAAGGGATTCATATTAGATCCAAAGACACAATCTATGCAAACAGTGACAAAAAGACAGCTGCATAGACTATACAAATATCAATGGGGTTAATCATCATGAAGATATAACACTTATAAATATACACATACTATCAGTAGAGCCCCAAACTCCATGAAGCAAAAACTGACAGAACTGATTAATAGTTCCATAATAATAACTCAAGATGCAAATACCCCATTTTTAAATTTTTTTTGAGGAAGATTAGCCCTGAGCTAACTGCTGCCAATCCTCCTCTTTTTGCTGAGGAAGACTGGCCCTGAGCTAACATCCATGCCCATCTTCCTCTACTTTTTTATATGTGGGATGCCTACGACAGCAGGGCTTTTGCCAAGCGGTTCCATGTCCACACCTGGGATCCCTGCCAGCGAACCCTGGGCTGCTGAGAAGCAGAACGTGCACATTTAACCACTTCGCCACTGGCAGGCCCCGAATTACCCCATTTTTAATCATGGATAGAACAATCAATCAGTAGCTCAAAAGAAAAATACAGGATTTTAATAGTACTTTAAACCAACTAAATCCATCAGACGTACAAAACATTCCACCCAACAACTGACTACACATTCTTGTTGATTTGTTTTGAGTTTTTGAGGGACGTGCCTTTGTCTGTGCACACAGATGTACTACCAGCCCCTCTGAAGAATCAGTCCTTGTAGGAGGGGGTCTTGGTGGGTCCTAGGTTATGGCCTCCATATATCACATGGGCAGGAAGACATGAGGTGCATCTCAATGTGCATACACCGAGATTGGGCTGCCAGGCTCGTAGAAGAGATTGATGAGCCTGGGCTCATCCTAGACAACCACATTCTGGCAAAAGCTACGGAAAGTGGCATAGAAATTCATGCACATGGAGGGATTCTAGCTATCATAGTCATTCCTGTGTCTGAAGTGCGCATGCGTACTCTGCAGGATTGAGCACATTAGGCCACAAAACAACTCTCATTATATGTAAAAAGATTGAAATCAAACCAAGTGTTTTCTCCAACCACAGTGAGATAAAACTAGAGATAATTAAAAAAAGAGAGAAACAAAAGGATATTTCCAAAGTATTTGGAAATTGAATAACACCTTTTAAACAACCAATGGTTCAGTGAAGAGTCCACAGGGAATTAGAAAATAATCACAGAAGAAGAAAACTAGAAACATAACATACCAAAACAAATGGGATACAGAAAAATCAGAGCTCACCGAGACATACATAGCCAAAGACGTGTACTTTAAAAAAGAAGAAAGGTCTCAAATCAATAAAATAACTTTATACGTCAAGGAAGTAGAAAAAGAAGAACAAAGTAATTCTAAAGGTAGCAAAAGGAAGGAAATAATAAAGATAAAAGTGGAGACAAACAAGATACAGAATAGAGAACACCAACTCAACCAGAGGTTTGTTCTTGGAAAAGATCAACAAAATTGACAAATCTTTAACTAGACTGACTAAGAAAAAAGAGAAAAGACTAAAATTACTAAAATCAAAAAATAAAGTGATGTCATTACCACCAACTTTATAGAAATAAAAAGAACTATTGGAGAACACTGAGAACAATTATTTGCCAACAAATCACATACCAGATGAAATGGACAAGTTTCTAGAAACACACAAACTATCAAAACTGACCCAAGAAGAAGCTGAAAATCCAAACAGACTTATTAAAAGTTAGGAAATTAAATCAGTTGTCAAAAATCTGCCAAGAAAGTAAATCCAAGTTCCAGATGGTCTCACTAATCAATAGATAAACAAAAACGTGCTATATCCATGCAATGGAATATTATTCATCCATATATGAAAATAAATGAAGAAATTCATTCATAAAATGGAATTCACATTCCACAATGTGAATCAACTTCAAAAATATTCTGCTCAGTGAAGGAAGCCAGACAGGAAGGCTGTACATTGCGAGATTTCATTTGTGTGAAATGTCCAAAGTCACATATGCATAGAGACAGAAAGCGCATTAGGTGTTGCCAAGGAATAAGGAATGGGTGTTCTTGAACTAGAGATTGGTGATGGGTTTACTACATTGTGAATGTACTAAACGCCACTGAATTGTGCACTTTTACAAAGTTAAAGTATTGAATTTCATATTTTGTGAGTTTTAGCATAATTATAATAAAACATGGTGGCTTAAATAGCAATAAGTAGTTAAGGGAAATAGTTCTGCTTTCAGAATGATGGAGGAGCAGCATTTTCCATATTCCTCCCTTTAAGTACAGCTACAGATGCAGGATGTTATACATAAAACAAATGTAATAAGACCCTAAAACTGGAACGAAGAGGGAAAATTGGGCAAAGACCTCGGAATATGAAAAGAACAATATGGCAATACATTCTTTGTTGCCTTTTTTTCCCTCACGTATCTCAGACTCGATACTGGAGAAGCCAGCAGTCTGGAAAACCTAATGGGCACAGACAGCAAAAAAAGCCTCAAAAATAGCCTGTTCTCTCCAGGCAAATGAAAGGAAAAGCCTAACAAGACTGAAAACATTTAGACAATAATCATTCTACTCAAGCAATCCCCACAAAATAACTGTGGCCTCATCCCCACGCATGCCAGCAAATGCTGAGAGAGTGTAGACTTCTACCTTCACCAGACTGTGATCAAGCACACCACTGTTTTGCTAGGATATTGTCAGAGAATGCTGAATAACGAGCCATATTTTCCTACAGCCGACTTACAGCAAGACTCAAGCCCCCCATGTTGTCAGTGAAGACCTGTATGGAGCCAGAATTTCCACTCGCTCTCAGCTCTCAGCAGTAATGAGGCACACCTACATTTCCCCACTGGAGTGGTGTCAGAGAAAGGTCAGCGGAGAGTTAAGACTTTCACCACCACC